GGTGGGGTGGGGGGGAGGAGATTCTGATCCAGGAAGAAACCAGGAAGGACCACACCTACTAGGTCACTGAAAAATAACTACCCCCTACCCCAACTCCAAACTCTACCACTGAGATGAATCTGACTCACAGCGACCCTACAGGACAGGGTAGAACTGCCCCTGTGCGTTTCTGAGACTGTTGCTCTTTAAGGGAGTAGAAAGCCCCACCTGTCTGGTGGTTCTGAACTGCTAACCTTGCAACTCACAATGCTACCAGGGCACAGATGCCACACAAGGCCCTCCTGGACTGGAGAGACCAGAAACCAGCAGAGTAGAGGGGTGGAGAGTGGAGGGCGGGGTGGGGGTGGGTGAGTCAGGAGAGCAGCATGCTGAATGTATCTATAGAAACACGGGGACATTGTTAATGTCAGTGGCCTCCCAGTGTCTGTCCTTCATCTGCTTCTTCTTCCTGGACTCATGGCCCAAGTTCACACCCACCGGACCACCTGTGCCGAGGATCTGCCTCGGGGTCCTGGGCCGGAAGCAGGAGATGGCAGGTGCTCCCGGAATGGCACAGGCTCAGCCTCACCTGACCACATCCTTGAAGGTCCGCCGATGGTCTTTGTCCAGCCACAGTGTCAGCAGCTTCTGGTCCTGGCTCTGGATCCGGATGTTGGCTGTCCGGAAGGTGTTTGTCACTGTCTGCAATGGACAGACAGCACGTGTGAAGGCCATGTACGCAGCAGATGGTGCTGCTTGAGGGTCACCTTCACCCCTCACCTGGTCCTGCCAATACCCCCTCCCTTGAAGCTGCATGTTTCCCCGATCAGGACCTAGGGTGGCAGGCTCTCTACCTACAAGGGAGCCTGGGCAGTGACGACCCTGCAGAAACTGTGTCTGAGCAGCCTTTATCCCTGGTCTCTCATCACCCCAGTCCTCCTCCAAAGCTGGTGGCCTATTTGTGAGCCCACTCACTCACTGCCATCAACTGGATTCTGAGTCATGGTGACCCTGTAGGGCCAGGGAGAACTGACCCCTCCCCCCTGTGGCTTTCTGAGACTGTAAATCTCTACGGGAGTAGAAAGCCTCGTCTTTGAAGAACTGACCTTGATATTAGCAGTCCAGTGGGTAACTACCGTGTGGGCCCGGTCCGGACCAGGCAGCCCCTTGCACCAGCTTCTCAAGAACACAAGAACCTGCTGAACTTCGTAATCTTTGCCTCCAGCCTTTCACAGAGCTTCTCTCCCTGGGCAGGGCTCACACCGCCCCTCTCCCTAGCATTCCGGGAAGCAAGTTTGCAAAGAACAAGATGCTTTGCCAACAGGTCATCTCCAGACCCGAAACTTGCAACCCCAGCCGAAACCTGCTAACGCGGCACAAGAAACCTTCCTTCCCCTTCTCAGCCCCGATGCCCTTCGCGCATACCTTTATATCTCCTGCTGCCCTGTGCCAGGCACGGCTTCCCTGACCTAACTCGTTGGGTGGCGGCACTCGTCCAGGAGTCTTCCCTCGCTATCCTTCCGACTCCTGACTGAGCCTTGTCTCCTTCTGTGCCTCGGTCTGCAACCTTTCAGCTACGATGCTCTCTGTCAAGAATTACGGCCTCAGAAACGCACAGGGCAGTGTCCTAGCGTGCCTCTGGGAGTCGGAATAGACTCAACGGCAAAGAGTTGGACTTTGGAGTCTCACAGGAGGAGGGGACGGTCAGCACGCTGATTCCCTCCTGTTCTCCGTTGGTGCCTTCCTGACCTCCACACCCCAAGGTCCAAATGTTATTGCTCCAGTTTTATTTCCCTTGACTCTCTAAATCTCCTGCCAAGGTCATACACCCGTTGACCTTGAAACTCACGAAGACCAGTGATATAGTTAGTTTATTGTGTCGACCTGGCCGATACACACATGTGGGGTTAATTGAAGGGTGGAGAGATACATGGCTTGGTGAGCTTCGCCTTTCTTGTCTTTCCTTTTTTTTTTTTTTTTGAGCCTCGCCTTTCTAGTTCTCGGGTCTCTTGCTTTGTGATGGTCGGACCAGGGTGCAGCTGCCTTAGCCAGTTCCCTGCTTCAGCTGGCAAGGCTCACTTCCTGCAAGACATCCCCTAGGAGAAGCCACATGGACCTACCGCGATGCAGCCCTGGGTGCTGGAGCAGCCGTGTGGAGAGCCCTGCCAGCGCTGAGATGCTTACACACTCACTGATTCGGCTTTCCTCCTGCAGTCAGTGTCATAGTGTGTGTTTTGTGAGATAGAGGAAGACTTTGTGGATTGGTGTTGAACATATGAGTTAATGTTGGACTTGTGGGCTTGGGCAGCACTGGGTTGGGATGTTTTCTTGATGTGCACTTACCCTTTATAGAAAACTCTCTCTTAGACACGAGTTTCTGTGGATTTGTTTCTCTAAAGTACCCAGACTCACACAACCAGCCACAGTGCCCTTGCTCATGCTGTTGTCCAGCTCACTGTGAACTTAGTGTTTATCCACTTATCTGTCTGGACAGACCATTCATGCTGACCTGTCTGGGTGTCAAGAGGAAAACGCAGGCGCAGTGTGGTGAGTTATTTAGGGCTCTTCTAGGTGTGTGTGTGTGTGTGTGTGTGTGTGTGTGTGTATTTCCCACCTACTCTTCGCTGACAGGTCTGGATAAGAAGGTATGGAAAGGTACTGACTGTGATATGATTCAGCTGTGAGTGACGGCCATCCGGCTGGGTGTGAAGTGACCCATCTCCGAAGCAGGAGGGGGGATTTTACTGCCAGCAAGTGTCACGAGTGGAGTGTGTCCTCTGGACCCAACACAAGGAGGCTCCTTGATCCAGGAGACAGCTGTGACCCCAGAGGACGGACAAAGGAACAGCAGAAGCAGGAGCCAGAGAGGTGGACTTCCCAGGTCACAAAGCAGGCACAGCTGAGTGCTTGTGAGCAGGAGGCCTCTGGGCACTTAACTGGGGGATCTGGGTTTGCTGACCTCAGAGCTGGAGCTGAGGGACCTCAGGCTGAGGCTGACAGCAGGGTAGCATGTCCTTTAGGCACTTATTGGCAGCCCAGAAGGAGCTTTGTAATGTTGCCTGAGCAGAGCAGAGGCCAGGCAAAAGGTTGAGGACCAGAAAGAAGCTTGCTTGGGATGATGGCAGGGAAGACACTGTTCTGACTGGATAACTCTATCCTGAGCATTTCTCACCTGGGTTGTAACCTGTTGACTTCCTTAATAAACTCCACTGCCCTTGTGGGCAGCAGTCCGATGCCTACCTACCCCATAGTGCCCTGTGGGAAGGTATATTTCAACTCAGTGCTGTAGGTCTCTGAGACCATCAGCGCTCCCCAGCAGTAGACAACTTGCCTCAGAAAAAGGGCGTGTGGTTCAGGGATGAGCGCTTCTTGAGGAGGGAGGATGGATTAGACACTCGACATCTAGTGAGCGCCCACTATGTCAGCGATGACGTTGAGTGCTGGGGTGACGGGGATGAAGGAGATGTGGCCCTGAGCTCAGGGAGCTGGCAGCGCCTTGACATCTAACAATCAGATTGCAGACGCCACTAGGCACCAGACACCACAGTGACTGCTGGGGATAATGGGTGAAGAAGAAGTGGGCCCTGAGCTCATGTCATATTAACATAGAAAGACCCTGTTATCCCTAGTGTTGCAAAGGACTCGTGGCTGTGCCCCAGGGGTTCTGTGGGAGCCCAAAGCTTGGGGTCCCTAGCTCAGAGGGGGGTGGGGAATGTGGAAGGAAGAAAGAATCGTGGGAAAGATCTCCCAGGGCCACGACACCTGCATTTCATCTTGAAGGGTGGGGAGGAGGTAGGCACAGAAAGTGGAGAAGAAGGGAGGATTGATGGCAGGTGGAGCGAACCGCATGAACCAAGGCCCGGAGGAACCAGAAAACCCAGTCGCTGGAGTGAACCCCTGTGCCAGAGGAGACCTGTGCTCTGTTGGGCTTTCAGGAGCAGATGTTTTGGGGGAGTCGGTCACCAGGACTTTCTTTTGAGGTGCCCCTGGGTGGACTTGGAACCTCTGAGTGGCTTGCAACCTGTAGCCTTTCGGTTCGTGGCCGAGTATGTGAACTACCTGCAGCCTCTGGGGACTCCCCTGGAACCACGAGCACTTGCACACACCCTGGGGTGAAAAGGCCGGCTGGCAGTGGCTGGAGAAGACAGGATCCAGGCTGTGCCCCACCGAGAGACCCCCTGCTATCGTACCACGGAGACTGGGGGATGGCACAGGGGGTTCTAGTCCAAAGTGACTGGTCAGAGGCCTGTTGGAAAAGATCCCGTGGGCAGAAGTGTGCAACATGGACGCAAGCAGACTAGGAGGGGTATCAGGGATCAGATCAGCTGGGAGGTGATTGTATCTCTTCAGAAAAGAGAGTGACTGACGATGGACGAGGGTCTGAACCCTGGGTGGCCAGCCCATCCCGACTTGCCCGGCAAGTTCCAATGCCCGTTTCAGCATTGAAAATCCCATGTCTCAGAAGCCCCTTATTCCCAGGATCAGTCCGGGCTGGCCAACCTAGCTGGAGCAGAAGGACAGAGAGGTGGGACGGATCAACCCAGCAGAGCACGGGACATTGAAAAGAGGAGGCAGATGATCCCCAGATGTCTGGTGGAAAACCCAACCAGACACACCGCCTCGGAGCCTAGGTCGACTCGGAGTGACCCCTTAGGACAGAGTGGAACTGCCCCTGTGCGTTTCTGAGACCGTCACTGTCTCCAGGAGTAGAAAGCCCTGTCTTTCTCCCGCGGAGTCAGCTGGTGGGTTTGAACTGCTGACCATGCAGAGTGCAGCACGCTGCCACCACGACGGCAGAGACCATGATTCTATCCGCCAGGCTACAAAATGAACACGCTGAAAAGACGCATGGCATTAAAGGAGCAATAAAACCACCGACGTGACGGAGGAGCATCGTGATGTAAAAGGCACACCCACCACGGAGCAAAGCCCAATCCGGTCCTCACAGAGACAATGTCCGCTCAGGGTCCGCCCCTCTCTGCCCCATCTGTGTGTCATGGCGAGCTGCACTCGCAGGGATTTCAGGGGCCGAGGTTTGGGAGGCAGATTGCCAGGCCTTTCCTCGGAGGCACTCCTGGGTGGATTTGTACCGCCAAACTTTGGGGTAGCAGCTAAGCCCTGAGCTGAGCATGTCATTTCCGTTGGTCCTAAAGCACCTTCCCCTCCCTGCTCCTTGGAGTCAGGAAGGGGCTCTGGTGGTGCAGTGGTTACAAGCTGGGTTGCTAACTGCATGGTCAGCAGTTCAAAACCGCCAGCCGCTCCATGGGAGAAAGATGAGCTTTCTACTCCGATAAACAGTTATAGTCTCAGAAAACCCACAGGGACAAGTTTACCCTGTCCTGTGAGCTGGAATCAACTCGATGATCTTGGTGTTCGGAAGTATTTTATAATCAGAGTGACAAGAAAGAGTTCTTCATGGATGGATGAACCTTGAAAACACCACCCTGAGCAAAATAAGTTTGTCACCAAAGGACAATACAGTATGATCTCACTCCTACGAAGTACGCCAATGTAAAGCCCCAACGGAGCTGATTTCAACTCACAGATGCTACCTGTTGGGCTTCTGAGACTATAAAGCTTTCCTAGAGCAGAAAACCCCATCTTTCTCTCGCGGAGAGCCCACGGAAGCTAGGGCAGAACTGCCCATGTGGGTTTCCAAGACTGAGTCTTCAGGGAAGTCATAGAAAGCCTCGTCTTTGTCCCACAGAGCTGCTGGTGGTTTTGAACTGCTGACCTGTGTTTAGCAGATCCATGTGCTACCGCTACACCACCAAAGTGTCTTGGAACAAATAGATAGAAACCAAAAAATTAATGATAACCAGGAGTGGGAGGAAAGGAGAGGGAGAATGTTTCCTGGGGGTGACAAACGTCTGTCAATATGTCCAGTAGTAATTGGACAAAGTGTTTTGGTGAGTATATTTCCACCAAAATAAAAGAAAGAAATAAAATATGTTCATCGTAGGAAGTTTTTTTCTCTCCTTCTCTGCCTTACTCATTCTGAATCATCAGTCCTCTGTAGGGCAGAGCAGAACTGCCCCTGGGGGTTTCCAAGTCTGTAAATCTGTGTGGAAGCAGAAAGCCTCATCTTTCTCCAGCAAAGGGCTTGGTGGGTTTGAACAACTGACCTTGATGTTAGCAGCCCTAAGTGCTACAACGCCCCAACCTAAAAAACTCACTGCCATAGAGTCCATTGTGATTCGTAATGACCCCAAGAGGACAGTAGGACTCCCCCTGGGGGTTTCTGAGAGCTGTTCCGGGAGTCCAAAGCCTCTTCTTCCTCTTGAGGAACAGCTGGTCACTTCGAACTGCTGACCTTGTGGTTGGTAGCCCAGTTCGTAGCCACTGCAACAGAAGGACTCCTTGTTTCTCACTTAGTGGTACGTAAAATAGTGGTACGTAAAAATGTTTCTCATTCATTGATATTTGAAAAAGAATCAGACATCATGTCATGTCCAATATTGGGGTTGGGCAAATGATGCCAGAGGCAGAAGTCACCAGAGAAGCAATTGGCAGGTTGTGCAGCAGCAAAACATGAAACTATTTCAGGTGAAAAAAAATCAAAAACACCAAACTGGGCAAGTCGTTTCTAAAATAAATGACAAATGAGGGATAAACATTCTTGCATTATGAAATAAGGCACCATACCATTAAGAAAGGACAAGAATGAACACAGGAAACACAGCGGAAAATACAGAAGGTATCCACAAATTCAAGAAATTATTATTCAGCTTCACTCACTGGTACTCAAAAAAGGGTACAGTGGAATAACAAAAATATTGACAATCAAATTTGTCAAGGTGTGATGTGAAAATGTGTTAACTTACCACTCTTGAACGCTACTGCGAAAGCAGAACTTGTTAAGAGAATTTCGGGGCAGGGCGGAGTGGGATGTTGGCAAAAGTATCCACAGCCCTAAAATACACATGCTTTCTGAACGATTCACCTTCTAGGCATTTTTTATAAAACCCATAACCATGCTTCTTATGCAAACATTTATCCCTTAAGATGTTCTTTACAGTGTTGCCTATAATAGTGAAGGAGGACAACTTAACTGAACTACAAGAGATCCATGAAAGAATCCTCAAGATAGACGAGGTCACTGTGTAGTACACAAGGTCAGCAGTTCAAAACCCCCAGCTGCTCCAGGAGAGAAAGACGGGGGATTTCTACTCTTATTAACAGTTACAGTCTCACCAACTCGCAGGGGCAGGTCTACCCTGTCCTATGGGGTCGCTATGAGTTGGCAGCAAGTTTATGTAATAAATAGTTCATGCAATATATTGAATGATATACAACCTATTTAATGACCCACAGAAGTGTTCATAGTAAGTACATTTATGTGTAAGAACACCAAGTTAGAGACCAGTAGGTACCATAGCTATCAGTTATGTAAAAATGTATTTTTAAAAGGCTGGATGTTAACCCTCCAAATGCCAGCAGTCATCCTTTCCAGGGGATGGGACTTGGGAAGGAATGGGCTTCTTGTACTCCCTTGTATTTCCCCCAAATCTGTAAGGTGAAGAAATTGTGAACAATATCCACATACCAACAACAAAAAATAATTCCCCCCAACTCACTGCTCTGGAGTCAATTCTAACTCCTAGAGGGTTGAGCAGAACTGCCCTCGTGAGTGTCCAGGACTGTAACTATTCACAGGAACAGAAAACTCCGCTTTCCCCCCCCAGGGTGGCTGGTGGTTTCAAAGTACCAGCCTTGTGGATCCACAGCCCAGTGCATAACCACTACACCGCCAGGACTCCTAGCCACGCAGCACACAGACCAATAACGCAAGGACTCAAAGATGACAGGTGGTCTTGGCAGTATGTGACCTGGGCTGTCGGGAGACGGTAGTGGAGGGAAGAGTTATTGGTAAGGGGTTGGAAACTCTTCTGGAAGTATTTTTCACAAGCTTCGCTGAGAAGCAAAGACGGGAGATGAAGTCATCGCTAGAGAGAGATTTCTACCGCCCATCTGTCGGTGTGTTGTACTGGGTGGCTTACGTGCTGCTGTGGAATCAAGGTCACTGGCATTTCAAACACCAGCAGGGCCACCCAGGGTGGACAGGTTTCGACAGAGCTTCAGACTAAGGTAACTTAGGCACGGAGGACTTGTGATGGTCTTCTGAAAAGAAGCCAACGAAAACACTAGGGACAATAAGAGAATTTTTGGCCGATCGAGTGATGGAAGATGAGCCCCCTCGAAGGCACCCAAAAGAGTCTATGACAACACGGACCAGCCGGGGGCTGTGCAGATGGAGCAGGGCTGGGCAAGCAGGTGCCAGTCTGTGGGGGGAAGTCAGATGCACAGGCATTCCCCCACCCTGAGGGTGATCAGTTGCCAAACTGCAGTGAGCCCTGCTCCCTGCCTCTGGGGACAATGGACAGGCTCCTGTAGGCGGAGTTTACACCCTACTGATAATGGTTCCTATGGAGACCCAGGGAACAGGTCAAGGTTGAGCTCTTGCATCTGGGGTCCACCCATCTTGTCACATGTGTACCCCAGTCCCTCCTTTTCCTGTTGCCTTGTATGTCCCTGGACCACTCCCTCATTACTGTGTAACCTATGGTGTAACCCCTTCCTGTGACGTATGTCTTTACCTGTAATTAGTGGGCATGCATGCCCCCAAAAGGTATATAGGCCTGGGTCAGCAATATAGATCTCTCTCTGGCTCCCCTCTCTTCCCCCTCTCCTCTCCTGTCCTCTCTCCCTTGTTCCCTTGCCCTCCTTCCCTTCCCCCTCTCTCCCTCCACGTGGACCTCCAAGCGGGACTGAGGTGAGCAATGCTACTATGTAATGTGTCTGACTACATTATTGTATCTCTCATGCTCTCGATGACTTTAATATAATACTTATATATCTCAACCGTACAATTGTGCTTACTGAACCCATGGGAAGTAGCAGCAGGTGGGGCTGGCCCCCCCCCCTACCCACCTTATAAATTAATAATACACCAGTCTGTGGTCCTGGGGGTTTGCCTTAGTCCAACAATAACAGGCAGGCATTTGTGATGTGGCAGTGGTTTTTGAAGGGCAGAAAAGGGTGGAGAAGAGCCCAGAGGGGAGGGAAGGTGAAAGGGCTTTGAATGATGCTGGAGACCCAGTTGGTGGGTGGAGCCATGCATCGCTATGGTCTTCATATAAATGGGTTTCTCCCAGAAGCAGTCAACACTGGGCAAACCAACTGAACTGGTGGTACTAGAGCATCTGCTTAGTGGTCCTCCAACCCAACCCAAACCCACGGCCATCGAGTCAATTCGGACTCAGAGCGACCCTCTAGGACAAAGTAGGACTGCCCCTTTGGGTTTCTGAGACTGTCCATTGACACAGGAGTGGAAAGTCTTCTCTTTCTGGTGGCTTGGACCTACTGACCTCCCGGTTAGCAGCCCAACACGTAACCCACTATGCCACCCGGGCTCTGCTTGGTGGATGGTACACGGGAATCAGGAATTTCGGTGAGAACATGATTCAGGTGTCCGCATGGGGATCCAAGACCAAGTTGAGTAGGGAGGTGAAGTCCAGAGAAGCCATCAGAAAGGGAGCAAAAATGATGGGTCTTTGACCAGGAAGTATCAATAAGGTAAGGCGGAGAGGGCGGTAGTAGGGGCGATGAGGTTGAAAGAGCTGGTTTGATTGGCCAAAGGTTGGGCGTGCTCCGCTGTCTGGATGCTGGCTGGTTGAGGAGGGTAAGAGCAGGTGCCCTATGCAACCACTGGCTATGCCTTGGGTCCTCTGCTAAACACTCAGCTGGCGGAGGGCAGGGCCCTACCCCTCGAGCCCCTTACCCAGCTAGCTGGCGTTCAATACTTCAACCAGCCAGTTCGGCACGCAGACCCATTCTGATCGGAAGACCCATTTCCACAGTGAAGTCTCAAGACGGCTCAGAACGTGTTCCTCCTTCTCTGGACCCTCCTTCTCTGTGGGTTCCCCGCCACCTACCCTGCTTACGCATCCACGTTCCCACCGACTGGCTCTCCTTTCTTCTTCTACCCAGGACTCACCGAGAAGGCCCTTCCTGCTAAGTTGGACGATTTGACCACCTCGGTCACGCTGGCATTCAGGCACGTGTGGTCTGTCGCGGGAGCAGCAGTGCGGGGCGGGTGGGTGGGTCCTGATAGGGGGCAGAGAAGATGGTGTAGGGGAGGAGGTTTGAATGGGCCTTCTGGGAAGCAAGGAAGTTGGAGGTGCTAGGCCCTAAGAAGGCCTCCATGCAGGCCTTTTGACACCTTCACCACCATCTCCACCCTGTCCCCACACCCTGCTTAGCCCTTCCCCCAGATGGCACCTTGACCAGCTTCCAGGTCACCCCTCTTCCTGGTGAACCCACCAAGCATTGGTATCTTCAAGCAGAACAACCCTCCCCGGCCTAAATCCCCACCCACCGCCCTCTCCTCACCTCCGCCTGCACCCATTTTTCAAGGGAAGAAAGTTCTGTTGACCTTCCTCATAGCAAGTGGACATACTAACAGGGTAAAGAACACCTAGTGCAGGGTTTTGTGCACAACAAAAGCACCGAGGGAGGTGAGAAGGGGTTAGACCCCACAGGCTGAGAGGGTTTCCCTGGCCTCTTTGTGGTGAACAGTGTTCAAAAACTGGTCTTGTGTGAAGCTTCCCTGGCCCATGGAAGAGGCTTCTTGCCAGTTCCTGCCTCTGAGGAGGGTTCTGGTACCGAAATACCAGTTCTTCTAGAATTTGGGGATGGAAAACGTGGGGGTGGGACATGAGTCGGAGTTGGGTTGGCCAGGCAGTGTCAGAGTCTTGTGAAAGAGAGAGACAAAAGACAGTTTTAGAAATGGAAGCTAACATTTGGTAATTTACTCAAGAAAACCAAACCACATAGGACTCCAGACCTGCCGCCGTCAGTGGGTTTTGTGGGGTGGAGTGGAACAGCAAGGCTGTCCCTCTTCACAGGAGCAGGGAGCCTCGCCTTTCCCCCGGGGAGTGGCTTGTGGGTTCGAACTGCTGACTCTGTAGTTACCAGCTCACTACGTACATAACCCACTACGCCGCCAAGGCGTCCCTGTAGTGGACTCTCTACATATAAGTGTACGCTCTCCATGTTAGAAAGGAAGAAACAGAGAGGTCACAAGTAACCTGCCCACTGTCACACAGATAATAATTGGCAAGGCTTGGATTTGAACCCTGAGGAGCCCTGGTGGCATAGTGGTTAAGCATTGAGCTTTTAACCTCAAGGTCAAGGTCAATGAAATCACCAGCTGTTCTGTGGGAGAAAGAGGAGGCTTTCTACTCCTGGAAACCCACAGGGGCAGTTCCACCTTGTCCTATAGGGTCGCCATGCATCAGAATTGACTTGATGCCAGTGTGTTTTTCGCATTTGTTTCGCTTTTGTCTTGTTTTGTTTAGTAATATAGCTCTAGATTCTGCTCCACTGACCCACCGCTCTATCAATACCCCTGGCTGATGAGTTATTTCCAAAATGGCAACTCTCCCTTATGGTCATAGATGTACCAGTAAAAATCGCTTGTCGTAGTGTTTCATCTCATCCACAAGTTCCTCTCACCTGCTCAGGAGGTGATGCAATGGAGCGCTACTCCTCGAGTTTTGCCTTTGGGCCAAATGTAGTGTCATCTAGGAGCGATGGGCCACACATCCATTGCAGACAGAGAGGTGGCACTGGTGTGGCACTAGCAAAGCTCCCCACACCCACCCGGGGTTTCAGAAGCAGCAGTGATCACTTCTAGTTGGACTGGAAGGGCTGGGTGAGAGATGGCTTCCCAGCACGGTTGAGGTGTATGCTCCTTATCTACTTCTTCTGGAAGATTCCAAATAGAGCCATTTTGGAATGCATGTGTGTGTAGGGGTAGAAAATAGCACTTCGTTGATTCAGCAAAAGTTTACCGGGTAGCTCAATGTTTACTGAGAGGACTGAGGGCTGGACAAGACAGGGCCCTCTTTGGGTGGACCAAGCACCTTGGGCAGCCTCCCTTCAGAGAGCTGGACTCACAGAGGGGGCAGGGAGGCGCCAGGGTGAGAGGCATGACATCCAGTGTGACACGGCCCATTGTGCCCCGGCCCCGCCCTTTCTCACAGCATGTACAATAGTCTCTCTGCTGCAGTTTCCAGGAGGAAAAGTTGCTAAGACGAAGGGGCTTCAACAACATCCGTGGAAAAAATTCCGTCATCTTTTCACTCAACATTCCCAGGAATTCTGCGAAGGCCCTGGTCGTCATAAGACCTTTCTGATGGGGCTAAGGTGCCTCGCACACAGGGTGCATGTGGGCTGCAGGCTAGCACAGCATGACCTCCCGTAAATGCGCCCATTGGTTGCTACCCCAGGCGGCCAGCCTTTGCCGTGTTCCCAGAGAGCAGGGCTGACACACTGAGACCCCCAAAGCCGGGCCAGAGCTCGGATAGTGGGACCGGCGGCCATGCCTTCTGTGACCTGGACACCACCTGTCTCCTGAGAGGAAGGGACACAACAACATGTTCTAGATAAAATGCAATGGACGATACAGGTCCACGTGCACCCCCTTCCTCCACCGTCCACCTTTCAATGTGCATCTTCTCAGGCCTCTGGGACAGATCCTGCTCATAAGGCAGCCTCCTGACTGCCGATGTGTGTTATTAGAGAGGGGGCAGCCTGAGGACGGAGGCCTTATTTCTCCGGTGTCCACCCTGAGCCCAGCACTGGCCGGTGCTTGGCCTTGCTGGGTGATGGCAGTGATGGTGGAAGGCCTCCTTCCCCTGGTCCCTCACTCTCCTGTGACCTGACTCCCCGCCTACCTGCCTTCCTCCTCTGGTGCCCCCTCTCGCCCTGTGCTGTTTGCCTGGCTCCTCACCTTCAGTGTTGCTGGCCGGAATGGCCTTCAGGACCAGCTCTGTGGCCCGCAGGGTGACAGTGACCTCTCGTGCCCGGTGGCTGAGCAGGGCCTGGGGAGGGGGAGGCAGGGACAGACAGGGGTCCTCAGGACAAGCCCCTTATGCAGCCTCACATCAGCCACGTGCATTTCTCTCCCCTGCCTCCCACCCCCACCCCCATGAGTCTTCTCTGTTCCACTAAGGTGCACCCAGCCGAGGCAGACTTCCACTATCCAGAGCCCCGGACGGCCGAGCATCTCCAGCCTCCAAATCGAGACAACAGCCCCCCAGTGGAAGGCCTGCAAGCATATGACCAGCAGGTGAGGAAGATCTTTTTGAGCAGTGACCTTCTCTCTTGTCCCTTAACTCAGGTCACCTTCTTGTCTAGACCGAAGGTCATTCTTAGCCCACCCCTCCCTGCAAAACTCTCTGAAGACGGGGTGGGGCAGGTGCCACAAAAAGGGGGCCAGAAAGTTCCTTTGGCTCTGTCTGCCCGCCCCTGCTTCCAGCCAGTGGCACCTGCTGGCTACCGCCTGCCCCGACACCCACCTACCCTGTCTTGGGCACTCACCTTCTGGTAGCAGATGGAGAGTTCGGCGCCTTGGCCCTCGGCCACACCTCTCTTCTTGGCTGGACAACCATCTGAGAGCAGGTGCAAACAAAACAAGACCTTGGTGCTGGAGAGCCGATCCCCACGAGCCCATGTGTGTGTGTGTGTGTGTGTGTGTGTGTGTGTGTGTCTGTGCTCCACGGTTTAGAATGGCCTTTCTTGCCAGGCCTTTCTTCCGCACTACTGCTGGATGCCAGTCGCTGCCCTTTGGGTTTGCAGCCAAGCTCTTTAATCATTTTGTGCTGCCCTTGTTGTTAGGCGCCCTGGGGTCAGAGTACATCACACTCCTGTAAAGATTCACGTACGTGCGGTGGTTCGTGTGATGCAGTGCTGCTGAGTTTATGCCGCCCCCCCCCCCCCATAGGGCATCTGTCCACTAGACCAGCACTGCCCAGTCCAGGAATCGTTGCTGTGTCTGAGCCCATTGTTGTGCCCACTGTATCGGTCCAGTCCCTGGAGAGCCTACCACTTCTTCATTGGCCCTCTCTACTTTACGCAGCAGAAGCGTGCTTCTCCGGGTAACGGATCCAAAATACGGGGAGGTGTGGCAGTGCCATCATCTGGTGTCAATTTGAGAGGATTAAGAGTGAAGGGGTGGGGTTTTAGCCTGTCAATCAGGTCACAGCTTGATGACCTCACTTAGAGACATTATGGAGATACATAGCTTGCTGGAGGTGGAGCACGCAGATTCTCTGCTTGACATTCCTGTTGACAGGACACATGGAGCTATGCTGATAGAGCCAGAGCCCTGGAGCTGGAGGAGCCACGTGGAGACCCACGCCAGCACTGAGATGCTTCCACTGCTACTGCACACACAAGAGTTTCCACCCACTGGCCTGTGATCTTCCTGTATTCTGCATCACTGCAGGTGCTGCATGAATCTGAAGAGCAATGTATAGACTGGTATCGGGCACATGGGCCTATATCAGACATATGGACTTGATCTGGCCTGGGCTGGGATGTTTTCTTAATATACAATCACTCTTTGATATAAAGTTCTTTCTTACACACATGAGTGTCTCAACCTGTGGGTCGTGGCAACCCTTTCACAGGGGTCGCCTGATTCATCACAGTAGCAAAATGACAGTGATGAAGGAGCAAGGAAAATAATGTTATGGTTGGGGGTCACCGCCCCAAGAGGAGCTATCTGAAAGGGTCGTGGCCTGAGGAAGGTTGAGAACCGCTGGTCTATGGATTTGTGTCTCTAGTCTCCCCGGACTAACACAGGAGGCAGAGTCATCGAATCCTCATTTCTCAGGAGCTGCCTTTCTTCCAACACAGATCTGCTCGGTCTACTGGCAGTCCGTGGTAGATTTAATATTCCTCTCCACGACCACCCGTCCATCCCGGCTTCCCCACCTCCCCGGGGGCTGTAGCTGAGATGCTGGATTTTTGCGTTCTGCCTCTCTGAGTGGGAAGAAGCATTCAGCAGGGCCCTGCAGAGCCTGGGGCGAGCCGAGGACTCTCAGCAGCAGTGTGGGAGAGAGCAGGCATGATTGCGATCAGATGAGGTCTGGGCGGGGTGGGGCTTGGGTGAGGCAGAGTCCTGGTGAGCTTTGGGAGAGGGCAGCCAGGAGCTCACCTTTGGGGAATCTGGAGTCTTGGATCTTCGCCTTCAGTTCTGTGAGGAAGACATCCTCCGCAGGGTCCCGGCTCAGGTCACTGAAGAAGATCTGGGGAGAAGGAGTGGCTTGGAGAGCAGCCCCCTCAACCCCAGCCCCCACCCCGCCACCAGCTCAAAGGGGAAGACAGTGGCCCACATGGTGTTCCCCAACTATCCTCCGCTATTCGATCCTGAGCTGCATATAGTGGTTCCTGAATCGATCCATCGATCCATTGACATATGAATTGCTTATAAGTCGTCAAGTAAACTATGGACGAAGACCCAAACTACTGGTAGCCTCGACTGTCTAATGGGTGTGCGTGGGGGGAGGGGATGTGTGTGTATGTAGGGCGGGGCACAGAGGAGCCAAAGACAAAATTCACATCAAGGGAGGTGAGAAGATGTCTTGTTGGCAATGCTTCCAAAAACTGTCAAGGATGGCGCAGAACCTCGATGCGTTCTGCCCTGTTGGAAAGAGGGTTCCTGTGAGTTGCAAGGGACTCAGTGGCACCTAACAACAACAAACAAACAACAACAACAACAAACTAGGGCGGAGAACAGGGAGAATCATTCCGTCCCCGGATGGGACTTTGGAGACCTCTATTCTACAGCGCCTGGGTAAGGTGCTGTCCACTGGGTCCCAGAACTTGGACCCTGTCCCTACTGGAGGTGGAGCCTGAGGGGGTCCATAGAAGGAAGCCCGGGTGGAGGAGTGTGCCGGCCACTTCCAGGCACTTGCAACAAGAAAGTGACCGGGGTCACGAGAAGCGAGCCAGTCTTCAGGCACAGCAGGAAGAAGATATTCATGCTGCTTCTAAGAGAGGCCCTTTCTGTCTGTATCAGCAGAGAAGCACTGGGCGGTCCTTTAAAAGCCAAATTCTGTTCAGCCACTATGAAACCAAATGTGAATAGAATGCATTTGACGCAGCACTCCCTGTACTCGGCAGAGACCCCAAAGAAGCCAAGGACAAACCACGCGGCACATCCATGCTTATCGCAGCACTATCCACAATACCAAAAAGAGAGAATCACCTATCGTGCCCGTGTGTGGAGGAATGGATCAACGGACTCTGGTGCATACATACAATGGAATACTATGCATCTCTGGAGAAGCCCTGGTGCTGTAGGGGTTATGTGTTGGGCTGTGATCTGCAAGGTTGGCAGTTCGAAACCACCAGCCGCTCCTTGGGAGAAAGATGGGCTTTCTACTCTTGTAAACAGTTACAGGCTCTGAAACCCCAAGGGGCAGGTCTACTGTGTCCTACAGGGTGGCTGTGGGTGGTCATCAACCGAGTGTCATTGAGCGCAGGAGGCACGCATCTCTGAAAAGCACTGATGAAACGGTCCAGCACGCCACCACCTGGATGGATCTGGAAGACGCAATGCTCAACAAAGTCAATCTTATAAAGAAAACGATTGCATAAAACCACGGAAAGGAAGTGGTGTTAACAAACCCAGGGACAAGGAAACAACAAGTGATCCAAATTGGTGATGAGGTGGGTGTGGGAGGCCTGGTAGGGCATGATCAAGGGTAATGTAACAAAGAGGAATTGCTGAAACCCTGGTG